TTAAACATTTTTTTCTTCCAAATGAACATAAAAATAATTTTATCTGCATCCCCACTACCCCTAAATGTGACTTTAATTGGGAGGACATTACATTTACATATTAATATGTAAATAGCTGTCCTTTCCAGAAACACGATGTCTCTCCCTTGAAGTCTTTTTAAAATATGCTTCAATAAGATTTATAGTTTTCTTCAGATATGCATTTTTCTTATTTATTCCTAGGTATTTTGTTTTTCTCAATATTATAAATATTTTTCATTCATTTCTAAATGGTTATTGCTACTATAGAAAAAGGAACCATTGATTTGGACCAGCCACTTCACAAGTTATTTTTACAACTTTAGTAACATCTTAGGTTTTCTAAGAATACCACCATATCATCTTCAAAGAAAAATGCTTTTTCTTTTCTAAGTGTTTTTTTCCTTCTTTTTTTTAATTTGATTTTAATGTAGTAGACCTCTAAAATAATGTTGACTAATAGAGGTAATCATAGGTATCCTTGGTTTATTCCTATTTTTAATGTTCATCATTTCATGAGTTTGTGTAACATTTGCTGTTACTGTTTTTAAATTAAAATTTTAATTTTATTTAAGTAATTTCCTACCATTCCTACTTATTGTAATGCCCACTCAAATTTATCAAATGATGTTTTTATATTTATAACTATATCCATATACAGGTACATCTTGTTTTGTTGTGCTTTGCTTTATGAGCTTCACAGATGTTCCTTTAAAAAAAAAAATGGCCCTGGCCAGTTTGGCTCAATGGTTAGAGCGTCGGCCTGCGGTCCAGAGAGACCCGTGTTCGGTTCCTGCTACGGGCATGTACCTTGGTTGCAGTTTGTCCCCAGCCCTGGTTGGGTTGTGTGGGTGGCAGCTACTCAATGTGTCCCTTTTGTGTCGATGTTTCTCTTTCTTTCTTCTCTCTCTCTCCTACTCTATCTGAACAAAAAGTGGAAAAATGTTCTTGGGTGAGGATTAAAAAAAAAATGTTTTCATTGATATTTTAGAGAGAGAGGAAGGGAGAAAGAGATAGAAACATTGATGTGAGAGAGAAACATCTATCGGCTGCCTCCTGCATGGCCTCTACTGGAGACTGAGCCAGCAACCCAGGCATGTGCCCTGATCAGGAATCAGGAATATACTCAATCCACTGAGCCACATCGGCCAGGCAGATGTTGCATTTTTTTACAAAGTTAAACCAGCAAAAGATTATGACTTGCTTTACTGTGGTACTTGCTTTGTTGTGGGGTATCTAGAACCGAACCCACAAAACTCTGAGATCTGCCTGTCGTGCTTCTCGTTGGACCTTTGTTATAATTTACATATCAACTTCCTAATACTGAATACCAACCCTTTGCATTCCTGGCACTTGGTCACAGTGAATTATTGTTTTTACATTTTTGGATTTAATTTTCAAATTTTTTAACGTTTACATCTACATTTTACAGGTAAAACTGGTCTCTAGTTCTTTATATTCTCTCTCAGGTTTTAATATTAAAGCTAGGCAAGCTTCATAAATGTAAAACCTCAAATACTTTTTTATAGTCTGTATTCTGAAAAGCTCTCCAGGTAATTCCAAAACATACCTCCCAAATGACAACCACAATATTAGGCTTTAATCTTTTTGGATCTTAAGCTACATTATATGTAGACCTTTGAAAGTTGACAAAAGTAAAATATTCCTTGGTGTATCCTCCTAAGACTAGTATTTGTTCCCTGAGGAGAGTGACAGGGATGAGAGTATAGAGAATGATACTCATCACTAGCATTTTGCTAAGCTATGGAGGCTATCACCTGTTACACAGATCCAACCTCTGCCAGGTCCTTTCTTCCAGATTTTTCTTGTATAAACCCAGTTCCCCAAACCTTAATATCTGTTCTACCCAAGAAACCAAGATATAAAATTTGTTGTTGGGTACATTATATTACTTTACCTGGTATTTAATGATCGAACCCTCTTAACTAGCTAGGACCCCATATTATTTCTTCTGCTGCTTATGAAGTTCTTGACAAAATGACACTGGAACACACTCCTTACCCAAAAAACAAACTACTGACAAGATACAGACCCTGTTTCTAAAAGGCTCATAAACTTAAAATTGAGAAACAAGACACACATATTTGAAACAATAGGGTAGAGTACAAGAAGAAGAAAGGACACAAACATCTGAGTTCTACTCTATGTCAAGCAATGTGTCAGTGCCAATTATTACTATGTCCTGAAATTAAACTCAGATTAGTCCTAAATGCCACTGTCGGCTGCAGAGAAAGTGACAGCAAAGGGAAGTAAAAACACAGGCTGTGTTGCATGCATTTCTAGTAATTAACGAACATATGTTGCTTGTATGTGTGGCTCAAGTTAGAATAGCTGACACCGGCAGAGAAAACATGAAAATCCACATTAATAAACATTTCTTTCTATGTAGAGCACTCCATGCACAAGCCTCTATGCTTGGTGCTTTAGAGGCAACAAACATAAATATGAAATTTTAAAGCTCTCTATTAGGAAAACAAAGCACTTGCACTTACAGGTAGTTTGTGGTTGAATCCTTTCACTCTAATAATTAAACCATGTTCTCCAGCTACCAGCTTATACTCTAGCTGTGCCACATCTGCTTCATAAGCTGGTTCCGCAAGGTTATGGGTGAGAATATTGACAAAGATATCAAAGAGGACCACACTAAGAATATAAAATGCAAACAGCATCATTAATTGGCAAGAAATAGACATGAAAACATTTGCTTTGATTTAGAATAAGAAACTTCAATTTTAGAAAGATGTTAATTCACTTCTCCAGACTGTAAAACTATATACTAATTGAGTTCAAGGTAAATACTGCTTACCCAGGACTAAGTTTCACAGAGGCATTATAAGAACTCCTATCTTCAGCAGTGCTTCCCAATGTTTTTCATCTCATGCACACATATTAAATGGTCTTATTTATGCTGCACAGTGAGGTAAGTGTAAAAGGCATCAAAGGCAACTGGCCTAAAGGCTCTGACGATTGCGGCAGCCTAGCTTTCCTGACTGACAAGTTAAATATCTGAGGGAAGGGATGAAGATAATGTATTTTTTAAAGTGAATATTAATAAATGTTAGCACTTCTTGTCATTTTAAGGTTGGATTTTACACTTTAAGTGGCAAAGGAAAGGAAGAAATATACTATCATTTCCTGAGCACCTCCTGTGTTTCAGGAGCTATCTACATAAATATATAAGTAATTTGCTAAGAACAAAGTATACATAATCAGATTCTCTGGCAGTTTCTAAATACAGGATCAACAGATCTACTAGTCCTCATTATAGTCTGTAAACTAACCCAAACGCATTTCTAAAGAACTACCTCAATCCAGTAATGCTATAACTAGCCTACACTATCAGCCTATTTCACAAATGGATACTGGAGATATAGCAGCCGTGATTCCATTTTAATGTTTAGTACTAAATTGTTTGTTTTAGGAACAGAAAAAGATACATAATCAGCAACATAGCTCAAATGACAGAGAAAATGAAAGAATGATTCAGAATGGAAAAAAATAATTTTTAATAATAAACAGTTTTTCTAGAAATGAGGACAATTGCTTACTTTGCTGCAGACTTCTGAATCAAAGGTGATATCAGATGGAAACGTATATACGCTGAAAGAAAATATTACAGATAAGAAAATAAAAGGCCAGAGGACTCAAATATTTTATATATCTATTTATTCCCAATATCACTCTTTTTAAAAATTCTGAAATAAGCTACTAATCCTTAAATCTTATTTATTTTTTAAATCCTTAAAAGTTTTTAAAAAGTAATATTTACCATTCCAAATAATGACCAGAAGGCACTACGAAAATATCAGAGATATAGACAGATACACAGAGAGGCCTATGAATACTCATATTTATCAATGGCTTTAGTCAGGGAAAATGTTTACAGAAGTATACATGTCAATAGCAGTAAGAGAATAATCTCACTGCTCACAAAAAATTATAGTAGAATCTTTCCAAGGAAGATGAATAAACGTTAAGAACATTTTTAGAAACTCTTATAAGCTATTCAAGAAAAACTGAGGAAACACTTTAGCAATAAACTCAGGAATCCCTCAGAGCTACAGCCCATTGTCTGAGGTTAGGGATATGGATTAAATGGCAACCAAGAGCGCTCAGCCTTTGATTCCATGTTGGTTCAGTAAATTCTTATGCTATGCACAGGAACAGAAAAAAAGCAACACACTTCAGGATATTATGTTGAAGATAAGGATTTTAGAGTCTGTTTAACTGTGTACTATGCTTCCTCTATTCTGAAAAACAACAGTGGAGGGAGATATACAGGTAAGATTTCACATTTGTAATGCTGGATGAGGCTATGGTATCTAAGAATAATTTCCTTCAGTGTACTTTTATTCTATCTTTTTGTTTTTTAATGTTCACCTGAGGATTTGCTTTTATTAATTTTAGAAAGAGACGGGGGGAAGGGGAGAGAAAGAGAGAAACATCAATTGGTTGCCTCCTGCACAGACCACAACCAGGGATCAAACCCAGAACCTAGGTATGTGTCCTGAATTGAACCCACAACCTTTTGGTGTACTGGGAGACACTCCAACCAACTAAGCCACCAACCAAGGTCTACCTTTTTGGAAAAAAAAATGTTCAAAAGTACCACCTATTCCCTAAGATCACCAAAAACTTGGCTGTGCTTTCATTAAACTGAAAGAAAAATATCTGAAAAGCAATTTCATTTTAGACTTGAATCTTTATTTCCTAGAATCTATAGTCTACAAGGATGTTTGTGATAGCACAGCAGCACAATATTGATCTGATAAACCTAGAAAAGATGTTCAAATGGATGGGGAGGGGGAAAGAGAGGTAGATGATAGACATAAGAAAAAAAGTTTGCTACAAAGTGAAGAAATATTTCTAACACTTATTTCACTCCTTTTAGGGATGGAAACATTTTACCTTTGGGGATTTTGAATTTGTTGTCTTTCTTATACCACAGGCAACCTTGTGCAGTGTTCACAATTTTAATAGGGTATTCTGTCTCAGGACAATCAAAAGCCTTCAACATGAAGTCCGAGGCTAACAAAAGAAAAGATAATAGCTCATTCAGGTATGTTAACAGGATTCCCAACAATCTGTTCTTGGTTTCAGAATTCTAAGTAACTTCTCTTTGTGAAATCTGGAACAAAGTTCTTGAAATAATACCCTTTATGCAATTAAACATTTTGCTATTTTACATTCTAATTGATTTTTTAATGCTTTCACAACTTTTTACATTGACATTATAACCCATTACATTGATTTTACAACCCTCTAATGGGTAGTTTGAAAAACACTAAAACAACCAGACAAGATAATGGCAATTCCTATGTAGACTGAATGAAACTATCAGCTATGATATATAAGCAAAAACAAATGCTTCAGAGGATCTCAAAATTTATGTTTAAGTCCTGTTTCCTCCATTTACCAGCTGAATAGTCTTGGACAAGATGCTTTGCTTTTTTGAGCCTCACTTGTCTCATTCAAAAAATTAAGAAAACACTAATGCCTATCCCAGAGTGTTACTGGGAAATTCAAATATGATTCAAATGGTTCTTTGTAAAACAATGTTCCCTACGGGTGCTTTTTGTTTTATTAGAACAAGTATGGATTATGTATAATGACTGCTGTTTCACTGACCTATGTACTTGTTTTCAGCTGGAAGATGAAGATCTGGATTTAATTCAAAATTACTCTTCCACAGTTCAGCCCAAGAGTTTTCAATATCTGTAGAGATGGAAAAACAAACTGATCCAATTAACAATGCAATGTTCAGAATAATCTCAATAACAACCCAGTCAACAACTAGCCTTCACAAATCAATTCTCCTTTCTTAGGAAAACTGTGAGCAATATATCCAGACATTCTAGACCCTTGCTACTCAAAGTGTGGACTCAGCTGCATCAGTATCACCTGGGAGCTTGTTGGAATTATAGAATCTCGGCCCCACCCGAGAGCTACTGACTCAGGTGACACATATGCCTAGTGAAGAAGTTTGAGATGTACTTTTCTAAAACATAGTCAAAACTACCCTCAAACTACCAAGACAACAGGATTTTCCCACTAGCTAATAAATATGGATATAATCATAGCAGAAAATAATTTCCTACACAGAAGTATAATTTTCATTTCAAAGTAATCTAAAAATACATATACTTTCTCCCCACAGGAACCATCAGACAAATTATTTTTATTTTATTTTTTAAATCCTCACTTGAGGACATGCTTAGAGAGAGGACTGGGGAGGGAGGAAGGGAGGGAGGGAGGGAGGGGGAGAGAGAGAGAGAGAGACATCAATTGATTGCCTTCCATGTGTGGTGCCCAACCATGCCCCAACCAGGGATCAAACCTGCAATCTTTCAGTGCACAGGTTGACACTCTAACCAACTGAGCCACTCCAGACAGGCATCAGATGAATTATTAAGGAATAAAAAGTCCTAGGTTAGTCAGATACACCTTAATTATGTAGGACAATTATTCAAAATATTTTACCTTCCATACTATACTGAGTCCCAAACCATTTCTCCTTGAGGTCACATTTTCCCTCATTAGCACCAGACAGCAGAACGAGATTTGCTTTTTGAGGAACTAGCTGATTAAGGGCTTCAGCAATGACCTAATAAGGGATGGAGGTTGGGGAGGAGACACATACACAATAATAACAACCTATACATCTCTGTTAAAAAGGCAGAACCACAATATGTTAGACACACCAAGATCCTAGCATCTTCACATTAATGAAAATGTCTAGAGTCCATAAACACCCTAATTTACAAAACTTCATTAGTCTATCAGTTGTTTAAAATGTTTCTTGATAATGCTATACAAGCAGTACTCATCTCAAACTGTATATAGAAATAGTACTAGCAGTAAAAATAGCTATCACTATGTTTTTATTATGTGTTAGATGTTATTTCATTTAATCCTAAAAACAACCCTAAGCTTTATCAATTTTATAGAAAATAACACAGCTTCAGAGGTTAAAAATAATGTAATTTGTACAGAACAACAAAGTGGCAAAAACTTTGTATATGATTCCAAAAGGTTTATACATGATTCCAAAGACTATATTCTGACCTGCCAACTCACACCCAAGAAGCAGTAAAAATGATCCCAATGTAGGGCCTACTTCAATAATCCTTAAGCTATGATATGGACTAAAACAAGATTCATGGGTTAGGTTTGAAATACTAACTACCATTTAAACATAATTTCTTTGAGAAATAAATGACAAATGGTGGTTCAGAAAAAAACACTTGGATTCTTGGGCACAACCATCCTAGAGAGAGAATGAGAATGTATGGTTACTGCTTCTTCCTTTACCTTTCCCTGTCTAGTGGAATACCCTATATAAGGGATGGGGAACGTCTGGCCTGCATGCTGCATTAGATCTGTGAAATCAATACCAGCTAACATCACACACCTCACTAAATTAGCTTAACCAAATATAGCAGGTTAATTTTTAAGTTGATTAATTTTGTATGGCCCTTAAATGATGTTATAAATATCCAAATGGCCCTTGGCAGAAAAAAAGGTTCCCCAACCCTGCCAAAGTTTCTCAACCTTGACACTATTAACATCTTGGACCACATATTTCTTTGTTGTGGGGTGCTGTCTTCAGCACTGTAGGATGTTTAGCAGTATCTTTGGCTTCCATCCACTAGATGCCAAGAGCACCCCCTAGTTATGACAACTGAAATGTCTCCAGGATGTGGGAAAATATCCCCTGGGGGACAAAAATCACTCTGACTGAGAACTGTTACCCTATATGAAACAAAACGACTTATTCCCCAGGAACAGTGGAGAAAAGTTCCTGACTACTTATTTGTATGTAGTATTATCTATAAATCACATATTTTGAATTCAGTGAATCTTATATTTTTCTTGTAAATATTTTCAAAATGATTAAAATTTAATTGTGCAGTGTCTCCAACTGAATTAAAAGGTAAGCCAAACAACTCTCTAAGTATGCTAGCAACCAAAGCACAAAATTCTTAGAAATTACTTTAACTATTTAAGTAGATGTTTCAACACTTGAAAATGGTGAAAATAGTACCTAAAAAGAGGACCTGATTTTCACCTATTAAAATACAATCATATATAAGAATCACAGAAATTTATCCACAAAATTATTGATATTTCTTCTATTTAAACAAATGAGACACGACTAAATACAATCAAGCTTTCTCTATTCCCACAGGTCTTAAGTACTTTTCTGCACTTTTTCACCCTCCTTTCTCTAAAGGTAAGTGTTAGAAATGGAAACCTCCTTACTTCCGGCTTGTATTCAAAAAGAAGCTGATCTCCGGTGAGAAAGTCCTGCAGTGGGTACAGCTGCATGTTTTCACAGATGTTTTCCACATACTCAACTGGATCTGTCTGGAAAGAGGTAAAATTATTTCACATCAGAAACTCCCCATTATTATCCTTAATTTGCCACAATAGATTTTTCTCTTAAAAAAAAAAAGATGAATCAAATCTTCTGAATTGATGTAACCAAATAACTGCAGCTTAAGAAACTGGTGGTGAGAATTCCAAAAAATATATATAACCAGAGCTCCTAGCTTAAGGAGCTTAATCTAACACCCCTCCAATCCCTGATCCTGAACCTTACAGTATATCAGGCTCTAATGATGTCAGTCTCTTCATGAGAACAATTACAAGACTGAACTATAAATGCCTGTTTATATGTCAAGTGCCCCACAATGCAGGAAAGTTCCTAAAGACAGGGTCTACATCATTTTTTCACTGCAGCACTATCACCAAAAAGCTATATGTAACCATGAATCAAATTAATGTTGAAATCAAAATGTGTTATTAGATAAAAGTCCTGATACAAGAAGTTATATTAATCAATATATTATTTCAATTTAAACCACAGTTCTCTAATCTATGAAATGGAAATACTCTTCCTGAAGAAAGCAATCAATTCAAGTATTTATTGAGTACCCAGATGTACAGAATCTTGAACCAAGTGGTTCCATTTCCACATTTTGTAATGAGGACATATAGTCAGATTGAGTAGGTATTTTGCCCAAGTTCACAGTGAGAAAGTGACAGGCAATTTAGATACTAGAGGTCAGGCATCCTAATGTGGTAGTGAACACTCCTTCCAAAATACCAGTCCTTTACTAGACAATATGGGTTGATATGAGTTGTTCTCTCAGCTAATGGAAGACAGAAAAGAAGTGAAGGTTACTACATTCATGGAGGAGAAATGAGACTAGCCCTGGCCGGTTTGGCTCAGCGGTTAGAGCATTCGCCTGCGGTCCGGAGAGGCCCGGGTTCGGTTCCCGCTAAGGGCATGTGCCTCGGTTGCAGTTTGTCCCCGGCCCTGGTTGGTCGTGCGGGTGGCAGCCACTCGATGTGTCCCTTTCACATCGATGTTTCCCTCTCTCTCTCTTCCTCTCTCTCCCTCCCACTCTATCTGTGCAAAAAATGGAAGAATGTCCTCGGGTGAGGATTAAAAAAAAAAAAAAAAAAAAAAAGAAGTGAAGGTTACTACATTCATGGAGGAGAAATGAGACTAGCATACATCAAACTAGAGGCCATAAGAATATCACATAGAAACAGAATAAGGAAAAAATAGAATAAGAAAAAAGAAAAGATTCATTGTTAGCTACCCACCCCCAACACACTTCAGAAAACATTTCTGAATCAATGAGTTAACTAGTAATTAAAGTGCTATTATTGATTCCTCCTACTCTGTTTTAATTTTTTAATCAGTTATTTTTACCAGCCATTTATTTAACTGCTCTAATCTGTATGCTAAAAACTGAGTGATTCAAAATATTTCCTATGAGAACACACTAAGGATCCTAGCTAAAAGCAGATCTTTGGTGCCAAGGTAATGAAGAAGGTACTGGGAAGAACAATTGAATGCTATCTTTTCATTATTTTAAAGATAAATGCACATACCATAAATTCACACTTCTAAAGTGTATAATTAAATATAAAATATAAAATGTACAATTCAATGGTTTTTACCATATTCACAAAATTGTACAACCATAACCACTTTCCAGAATATTTTCATCATGCCAAAAGGAAACCCCCATACCCATTAAGAAATTGCTCCCCCTAACCTACACCCCTCATCCACTGGCCATCATCAATCTATGTTCTGTCTCTATGGGTTTACCTATTCTGGATAGTTCATATAAATTAATTCATATAATATGTGACTTATTGTGTCTGGCTTCTTTTAGTAATTTTAGCATGATGTTTTCAAGGTTTATCCATGTTGTAGCATGAAATCGGTAATTAATCCCTTTTTAATGGCCGAATAATATTCCATAACATGCACAGTCTACTTTTGTTTAACCATTCATTCACTGATGGACATTTGGGTCATTTCCACTTAGGGCTACAATGAATAATGCTGCTCTGAACGGGTTGTGTACAAATTTTTGTGTAAACATGTTTGCAATTATTTCGGATGTATATCTAGGTGTAGAATTGCTAGCTTATTTGACAACTCTATGTTTAACTTTTTAAGAAACTGCCAAACTGTTTTCCAAAGCAGTGCACCATTTTACATCCCCACCAGCAATGTATGAAGGTTCCAATTTCTCTACATCTTCTCTAATACTTATTATCTCTCCTCTAAATTTTTCATCTACTATAAACTCTGTCTTTCATTATTGTTATACTATTCCTGTTTTTGGGCCTACAGAAAAGTACTTAAACAGCTTTTCTCTATCTCTAGTTCATATAGTTGATTTATGAGGCATACTGAGTCTGAGTTCCTACATAAAATTTTAAAAAGTTTTAATTTCTTAATTAAAAAAAAAATACTAGTTTTACCCTGGCTAGTTTTGCTCAGTGGTTAGAGCACCAGCCCATGGACTAAAGAGTCACAGGTTCGATTGCCAGTTAGGCACATACCTCGGTTGTGGGTTCGATCTCTGGTCAGCGTCACACAAGAGGCAACTAATCAATATGTCTCTTTTCCCTCTCTCTCTCTTCCTCCCCTCATCTTTCCCTCCCTCCCACTCTATCTTAAAAAAAAAAAAATCAATGGAAAAATATCCTAGGGAGAGGATTAAATAATAAATAAATAAATACTGGTTTGAATAGTTTAAAAGGGTATTCTTATTTACCTTTATTGATGAAGACTAGTAAAAAAGTCTGAAGAGGAGACATTTCAGCTTTGTTTAAAAAGGAAATATATAAATACTGAAATAAGCTGAGTTCCTTGAATTAATTTTTTTTTTTTTTTTTTTTTTTTATCCTCACCCGAGGATATTTTTCCATTTTTTATACAGGTAGAGTGAGAGGGAGAGAGAGGAAGGGAGAGAGAGAGAGAAACATCGACGTGAAGGGACACATCGAGTGGCTGCCACCCACACGACCATCCAGGGCCGGGGACAAACTGCAATCAAAGTACGTGCCCTTAGCGGGAACCGAACCCGGGTCTCTCCGGACCGCAGGCCGACGCTCTAACCGCTGAGCCAAACCGGCCAGGGCTCCTTGAATTAATTTAGCAGTTTACACAGATATATGGACCTTTTTGATTTGTTCTGACTTTGCACTGATTAGGTTTTCATTTAAGATGTTTTGGGCCCTGGCCGGTTTGGCTCAGCGGTTGGAGCGTTGGCCTGCGGTACAGAGAGACCCGGGTTCGGTTCCCGCTAAGGGCACGTACCTCGGTTGCAGTTTGTCCCCGGCCCTGGTTGGTCGTGCGGGTGGCAGCCACTCGATGTGTCCCTTCGCATCGATGTTTCTCTCTCTCTCTCTCCCTCTCTCTCCCTCCCACTCTGTCTGTACAAAAAATGGAAAAATGTCCTGGGGTGAGGATAAAAAAAAAAAAAAAAAAAGATGTTTTGGGCTAGGAGAACATAGGGTAGTCAAGCTTTTAAGATGCTTTGGGCTTATGTTTTAAAAATCATGGCCAGCCCTGGCCGGTTTGGCTCAGCGGTTAGAGCGTCGGCCTGCGGTCTGGAGAGACCCGGGTTCGGTTCCCGCTAAGGGCACATACTTCGGTTGCAGTTTGTCCCCTGCCCTGGTTGGTCGTGTGGGTGGCAGCCACTCGATGTGTCCCTTCACGTCGATGTTTCTCTCTCTCTCTCCCTTCCTCTCTCTCCCTCCCACTCTATCTGTACAAAAAATGGAAGAATATCCTCGGGTGAGGATAAAAAAAAAAATATCATGGCCAGTGTGGTGCAGTGGTTAGAGTGGTGGCCTGCATACCAAAAAGTTTCAAGTTCAATTCCCCATCAAGGGCACATACCTGAGTTGCAGGTTCAATCCCTGGCCCTGGTTGGGGTTAGTTGGGGAGACAACCAATTGATGTGTTTCTCTCACATCAATGTTTCTCTCTCTCTCTCTCCCTCCCCCCATTCCACTCTCTCTAAAAATCAATTGAAAAAATATCCTCAGGTGAGGATTAATAAAAAAATAAATAAGTAAATTAAAGTAAGTATTCATGAATATTGCTAAAGGTGAAAGAAATGAGCTATAAAATGAGGAGATATCAATAAACGAAAATCTTGAAATGCCTCACTAAGAAGGAAATGAAGGAAAGAAAATGTCACTCACTCAACCAATGCTAAAAAGCAGATCCCCAAAAAAGGGAATTTGGATATCACTTATGGTTAGTCCACAATTCTTGCTGCCACTCCTTCCCTGCCACATTCTGGCCCACACGTTGCCACCATAGCTGATAAGGACACAGAATAAAATCACTCCTGGTAAGGTAGATGGCAGGACTTGTGGTTTCTATGCATATCAATCTATTTATAGGGAGGAGTGTCTACAGGATCCTCTAATGGCCAATACAAGTCACAGCAGCCTTTCTATTTTCACAGAATAAGATTTTTATTTCAATCTCAAGTGACTTCAAGTATATAGAGTAGATCAGGAATCAATAGCAACTGGAAGCTTATAGGTTTTGTGACCTTGTACTCATGTATTTAAGTTTTCTCAACTTATAATAGATATTCAGTGATTCATCTTTGATAATGATCCCAAAAGACAGTTTTCAAGATGCTCTATGAGCCCTGGCTGGGTAGTTCAGTTGGTTGGAGCAATTGTCCTGATATGCCAAGGTTTCGGGTTGAATCCCGAGACAGAGTACATACAAGAATTAACCAAGAAATGCATAAATAAGTGGAACAACAAATTGATGTCTCTCTCTCAAATCAGTAATAATAATAATATAATAATAATAATAATAATAATTAAAGATGCTCTACAAACTGGTTCTAAATCAGAGGCTCTTAATCTAGGGTCCATTGACACCTGCCACAGGTATCAGTGAACAAATACAGGAGGGAGTGGTAGTGTAAAAATTTGGTTGGAAAGAAAGTATATATTTATTTTCACTAATCTCTAATTTAGCACTTTTATTCAATTATGAATATGGCAACAAACCGCAATAGTATTA